AATTGAGAGGGGACTAACGACTTCTACAATGAGATTTAGTCATTTAAATTCTGTTTCCCTTTTCAGGAAGCAGGGTATAAAAGCGGTTATATATATATATGCCAAGGTGATGACACGTTCAAGTTTCCGCAAAGCTATATTTACTTGTTAGATTGTTATTTTTTTTCAACATTTAGAATAACTTTTTAGGAGGCTCTAGAGCTCTTCCCCATAAAAATGAGAAGAAAGGTGTAATTGTAATAACAACTATCATTTCCGTGAGTCTTCAGTCAGTAGTGTCAAATTAAATTACATTATGTTAAAAATCAACAAACTGATTCCTAAATGTCAGTAATGGCTCTTTACTTAGTTGCACCTAAGTTATAACTAATTAACACTGATTGAGAACAAAGCTATTTGGGAAAGTATCCTGGAAATATATTTCACTGAAAAAACGAGAATCCACAAGTTCACTATAACAATTTCCCGACCTTTTTTTTTGGTTTTTTGCTTCCTTATCCCTTCAGTCTCTTCTCCTGCCTTACTTTCTCAACCTTCTTAACGTTGCCTTCATTGGTTAGAGATGGAAGATTCACCTACGACACACATGGCCGTTGAATGGCCTTGAACGCAGGCCTAACGGATGGTGAATTGTAGATATAAGGCAGTTTGCGTCTCTATTAACTCTCCACAACATTCTCAAAAGTGAAAGGAAATTTGGGATGTGTCCAGGAAATTTACCGAAATTTGCAGAAGCGGTTGCGTGGGTTGGGGGTCTGGCAGTGTCGGATGACTTGTATGAGAGCTGAAGAAATTTCAGGGACATGACGGTTTCTACATTTTCCCAGATTCTCCTAACATTAAAGGAGTCGTTCAGAACCTACTAAAAGGAACCAGCTCAAGTTCCGCCTTGTTGGCGGGTATATAATTTTTGGGTAGTTCAAATACGGAACTAAAATCTCACAAATTTCCCTGTTAAGAAATTAAACCAAACTAAACTGTACCATTTTTTTCGGCTCGTGTCATTCCTTAAAACCTTTGTCCTAAGTATGGGATGAATTTTTTGATCTTCACAAAGCGAAGCGAAGATTCACGAAAGACGTCAAGCAACCAGCATCTCTCAAGTCATAAAACTGTAGAATTTAGCTTCTTGCCACCTCTGATATATGGTTATAGTTCACTTAATACAACTGAAGTGAAGATATGAATAAGTATGAGAATAAAAAAGTGTAATGTGGGGCCTTAGCACTTTCAAGCTGAAGTCAAAATACGCTGTAATATTCGTGGATTTTGTCATGTGTGGTTATATAAAAACTTTTCATGTTGATAGGGCTAATTATTCGCTGGCACAGTTTGAACACAACTGAAACGAGTCGGTTCCTATGGTGACAATCTCCTGCAGAAAGGAAGGGATAATTGTTTCGCAATAAAAAATATTCAAATTGCTCAAAAGTTCTCTGAAAAGACGTGAAGTGAAGCATGGAGGGGGCTTTTCATCACGTTGGCCTTTGCTCATGACACCCGCACCCCGCATCAACCTTCCCTGTACAACAATATCATAGCCTCTGAATTAAAGGCGGCGGGGGGGGGGGGGGGGGGGGGGGGGGGGGGGGGGTTCGTTCCTAGTATTGGTATAATGAGTTATTTCGTCTAAATACTTACTCCCCTTGCAATAGAATGGGATATCGAATACATTTTAAAAGAGGTTCGTAAATATTTGGTCAATTTGCAACCCAATTTTTAGAAGTAAAAGATGAATATAAACAATGACACTTTAGGGAAATAGCTTTTGGAGAAGCCTAGAGCGAAAATTTACCTCAGGGTAATTACTCACGTCTCTGCAATGCTGTTCATGAACGTTTTCGACTTTTCGATCCCACATGATGGATATGATGACCAGTGGCAGACCTTTGTATTTCAAAAAGAAGTTGAGAGGCTTATTTAAACTTGACTGAAATAGCTCGGCTGGATCGACAAAAAACTTGAAACCGCTTTCCTGCAGTTTCTCAAAAATTCTCAAAAATTCTCATGGGCTAAATGAAGATAAAAAAAAACTGCAGTTCTTTCAACTTTTCGTAGAAAGATGTTGTAGGTAATAAACCTGGCTCTTCGCCACAATTTGGCTCTAAAGTTGATTTCAAGGTTTGTCCAAATTTCACAAAATCTAAATGAGAAGATTCGTGTATTTCCGGTTTTAATCACTTAAAGTATTCATAATATTTAATATGCTTTTAGATTGATGCACCCTAAACGGCATGAATGTTAAAAGCTTTTTACACCCTGATGCTCCCTACGCGCGCTGAAAATCGATAAGATATCTAAATGTATGATTTGGATAATAACCAATTTTTAAAAAGTCGTAGACGTTTGAAGACCTAACAAGCTTCAACGGCAGAACAGGCGGGTGAGGACGCATTTTCCCAACGGCTGAGAAGGCGGAAGAGAGCGCCACCCCGTGCCTCCGAGGAAGTTTTTTGAGCCAGAGGCTAGTAGTAGGACGTTCTGATGTAGACCTACAGCCCAGTGGTCGCCACAGCGGTCTCAGCCCGCTGAGCCACTATGAAGTGTCTCTGGGCCTTAAGAGGGGGTTGTGCATCCCGACCCTCCACTTTAAACCTACTAAGCGCAAGCGGGAAGAAAAGACCTACAGTGATAGAGAAAGGGAGAAACGACAAGTATTGGACATACTGAGTCACAGCTCCAACTCTGCATGTAGGTGGTTCAGGATATTGGTCGCTTGCTTGTTGAAGAGGCAACAGCAGCAGTCAGCAGCACCCTGAGCGACCAAGCAACACCTTTTAGGGATAGTGCCGCTTGCTCCACATGGAGACATGCCTAGAAAAGGTGGCTCAAACCCAACCTGCCTCACACCCTACCTGGTTGGCTAGCCACGGCCAATGGGTATCCCACATCAGCGGTAAGAAACAGGAAAAGAAACAAGAAAAGAAACAAAGACCTATCCTCCTCCTTCACTCTTCCTTTCTGGACTTAACGATTAAACAGAAACTGAAAGCGTATTGAAATGTTAGTGGGGGCATAGGTTCTGTGCGAATGGCACTTGGCTGTGTGAAAAAAGAACCTGACAAATTGGCTCTTCGTATTCTAAAACCCTGTTAAAAATCAACATAAAAAAAACGGTCGTCCTTACATTCTGGTCAAGTGTAGATGGAAGAGGTGATCGAATAAACAGTTGATAAATAGTCTTCAAGAAGCTGAGCCTTATATATTGCACTCATTCGAACATAATTAGGTCGAGTTTCACTAACCAACTACATCCCAGTGGAACTAATTTAATTGTGACAACCATTGAAAGCCTCACGATCATAATTAAACAAGGAGGGTGGCGTATTTGAACGTAGATTAAACTTCAGCTGTCTCAATTTGTCTGATGTTCTCTTCAAAATTGAAAACCTTACTGTGATTGTTTGAACTATAACGGATGTCTTCTGAGAACATGGTATCTGTATTCTACTGCTTCGTTGTCGTCGTTTTGGCTTCCGTAATACCAGAAGGACAAGGTGAGATTTTCCTGCAGTTATGTCCTAACTCATGTGTGATCATGGATAATATTTCGAAGTTTACTCAAGCATCATGTTCCTCTTTTTTCTACCTTTATTTACACAGCTAAGCTTTGAAATATCCGAACGAACTTATTCTTCTAGATATCTTTTCATGGAGTGCAATAAGATAAGCACATTTCACAAGAATTTCGTGCATTTTAGTAAGTTATTTTATGACACATTCTATGGGAATAAGTAGACTGCATAGGAATATAACGTTAGGAAAAATGGTTTTTTACTAAATAAAAGAGAAAAAACAGTCTGTCTCGATAACGATGTCCATGAAGCTCATTTTCGACGGCGGTCGATCATTCTCAAAATAGCCGCTTTTGAAACAAATTAATTTCGTTGGTTGGGAAATTCAAAAATGAGACACTGGCTGGGAATTTTGTACAATTTTGTACACAGCCTGTAGCTGGCGAATATTGAACTTTCATTTTTCTGTCAAGATAAAATAACAAGGGGTGGGAAAATAATATGATAACGGGAAATAAAAGCGGAAACGGAACTCTGTTGTTTCTGCTGTCATCATGATCGAAGAAAGCCATCAGGCTCCTGTCACTACTCGGTATGTAAGGTAAGCAAAGTGGCTCTCGTTAATGAGGCCAACAGATTGCCCTGTGGGTAAGTAGATTATTACCTACATGAAAATCCATCCTTTTGACGATATTAATAGAAGGTTCTCTAAGAACAGCATGTACTTGAATGGTGTAAGAATCGAGGCTAACTAAAGCCAACAAATCGGGCCGATGAAGACGCAAGACTCAAGCCGTCGGTGACCATAAACTTCATCAGAGAGGAAAATTAGTGCTTTTATTCAAACTAGAATAGAATGGAAATTATTTGCGCTATCATGATAAAAGTATGATTTTTTTAAAAGTTTTATATATTCTGATTTCGGATATTTAATCCACTTTTACAATTTTGACCACTTAAAAGAATGGAGGCTTATTTGTTCACGCCGAGACGTTTTACATACTAAGTTTACTTGACTACACTTTTAATTAAAACTAGGGTCTAAATGCCAAACAGCCGGGCATTGCCAGGAATTTCTTTGGGAATTTAAAGAAAATTTCTAATAACTTCCTCGTATTTAGTCTATTGGAGACCGCGTGTCCGGCAGTCTAAAGTATTCTCAGAATTCCCACAAAATACCTCATAAAAACCCAGAGACAGTGTTCCATGTTTGTTTGTATGCACAACCTGAGGTTAAAAAACGGAGCGTCAAAATAAAAAAAAACAGGAAACGACTTTTCGATTTAAGAGAATTTCATAATTAGAGAAAACGAATCACTTGAAGGCTGAATGAATGTATTAGGTCTGTTCGACCATCTGTCTTTTGAAAAAAGACAACCGCAAAAGAAATGTTTACTCAGTGTCAGCCTTAAGAAAAAAAATTCGCTTATTGTTATCTTATACGTAAAACCCGGACCTCTCTGTGAATTTCATTTTTCAGGAAAAATGCTGTGGATATTTTGTTATTTTCTTGTCTGTGTTTCGTTCACCAACCTTGTAGCCGCTGAGGATCAATGCAGGTCAGAAGTTAACATTCGTGGCATGGCTCTTAAAGGTTTCGTTTTCAAGAGAATGACAGTAACAGCTCCTCACATTTGTGATATCTTATGTGAAAGGGAAATAATCTGCCAGAGCTATAATTTCAACAGAAAAGAAAAAATATGCGAATTAAACAATCGCACAAAGCACGCAAGACACAAGAATTTCCGCTACGTAGAACCTGCGTGGTTTCACATCCGCCGTTTGAACGGAAGAGGTAAAGAACATGACCAAGCATATGAGATAATAACTATTGATATTTTGGCCACACTCCCCACTCTACCGTGACTTGCAGCCGACGTTTTCTAATCTTCTGCGCTCTTTTGAATTAATCTACTATAATTATGATGAACGAGAAGTATTTAAAACCCCCCCTTTCTTTTTCGTTTAACTTTGAACTAATACAGCTTTAATCCAAGTATAAAATTTTGACAGGAAATTATTCATTTATTTACTTTTTTAAAGTGTTACAAAAGCTTAGGGTCAGGGATGAATTTAAAAACTGGAAGCACCCTAAACGGTGGGCTAATGAGCCACGGGGGGGGGAGGCACCATCGAGGGAGTGGGAGATGCCTGACAGAGAGTTTAAGCATTCTTAATCAAAGAAGGACATTCAAGAGAAAGGAATTCGAGCCTCATTTTATATCTCTTACACTTATATCTCAACATTTTTACCAATACCAGCTCCCTTGGGTTCGATTCCGGAGTTACCAGCACGTTCATGCCATGAGATAAAAGCAAGCGAAGGAAAAAACACTGTAAGCAACAAATACTGGCTGGATCCATTTGGCAATGGGAAGGTAGTTTTGGTTTACTGTGATATGAATTTGAAAGGTAAATCACATTGATTTAAGACACTTTTGGTTTCCTTTTTGTTTTAAATCGTCGATTCTTATGTATCAAATTAGTCTCCTTTGCTGCAGCAGGAGTTGAAAATCCCATCATGCACCAGTCCAGAAAATACAGCGGGATTTGCCGTGGGCAGTTCCTGCTTTTGTCTATATGTTTTTTTTAAAAAGGGAGAATTCGCAAAAACGGACAAGCTTAAACTAAAATACATTTTGATAAATATCATCAACCAAGTTGATGACGTAAATTGGCCACCGTTAAGAGTTTAAAAGCTGACGTTTCGAGCGTTATCTCTTTGTCAGGGCGATTGGATGAAGGGCGAACGCACGAAACATCAGCTTTTCAACTCTTTACGGTGGCCAATTTACCGATTATCAACTCAGTTGATAATACTTAATTACCCTGTTTCACTCTACACAGTTCCTTTAGAAACTTACCCCCTTTACACGTTTTGATAAAACTTTGAAAATCATTCTTGCTTCAATATTGCAGGCATTGTCCATTTTTTTGGAAGAAAATATAAACATTCTTGTTGTGTTATGTGGCCATGATTCCCAATTTGATACAATGCTCTGTTTCCCTGCTAACTTAATGTTTATGAAATTTTACTTCTTTATCTTTTTTTTTTTATTCACCAACCAGATCATGATGAATGCCTTGGTGGAAACAATGCCTGTGACGTCAATGCATACTGTACCAACACCGTGGGTTCCTATAACTGTACCTGCAAGGAGGGATACACTGGCGATGGCCGCTCGTGTTCAGGTTATTGAGAGAGCAGTCAAAGTACTCGTCAAAATAATTTATTTGCTGTTGGGATGAAGGAGAGGGAAGAGGGGTCACAGTGTCCGTGGTTATAGATTGGCAAAAGTATTTTTAGGTGCATTTATTCGTTAGGTTACTTACAGTTAACCACCGGGATATTTTAAGAGCAGAAAAAAACTTTGTTTGCCGATAGGAATGATAAAGAACGTAGAAGTTCACTAGAGGAGTAATTTTTCTGGTCACATAGTAATTGTAGATGGATTTCATGGAAATGGAACTAACTGCGCAGGTAACAAGGCGTTACTTATGAGAGATACTGCAGAGATGCTTATGAGATATGCTAAAGCTGGCTAATTTTCATTCACTGAGGTGCAGTGAAGAATAAGAGCACTGACTTAAATAGTCTTCTTTTTCTTATTCTAGACATAGATGAATGTACTAACAAAACACACAGCTGTGATGTTCATGCTGAGTGTAACAATACCTTGGGATCGTACAAGTGCACGTGCACGAGCGCGGGTTTTTATGGAAATGGAACACACTGCACAGGTAAATACATCCTCTTTATGAAGGCCTCTTGTTCACAACGGCAATAACAACGGCAGTAAGGAGAGGCCCAACCAACAAACTCAGTTTTAAAGCAGAATGATATAAAATAAACCTTTTTTCAATTACGCTCGTTATCCTGCTAACCGTAAAAATGACAGCAAAGACACAGGACGCTTATCTGGCGTATTGTGCATTTATTACACAGGATTTACAGCTGTGTTCACAAATCTTGATAATAATGGAAGGGAGGGTCCAGACTCAATTGGTAGCCACTACAAAGGTCAGGATCGTGACGGACAAGTTACATTGTCCAACGGTATTCAGCTGTGGACTGTGCCACACACTGGTGAATACAGAATAGAGGCAATAGGAGCCCCAGGGGGGCGCAGTGAGGACAGTGTCACTGAAAAAGGAGGAAGAGGGGCACGGATGATTGGAAACTTTACTCTGACCAAAAATGAGATCATTCGTATACTTGTCGGTCAAAAAGGGGCAACCAAACTAAAAACTGCCGGAGGTGGAGGAGGTACATTTGTAGTGAGGGAAAACAACAAGCCTTTGATTATGGCTGGAGGTGGAGGGGGAGTTAAAAAAATGTCAGAACAACATCCAGGATGTGATGCATCCATAAACACAACAGGGAATGAAGGGAAAAACTCGCCATTGGGAGGAGAAAACGGACATGGAGGGATTGTCTATGGTCAATATTCAGGTTAGCGAATAATTTCCTTTTTATGAATGCTTTGATTTTCTATTTCATTTTTCTGCCGTTCATTAATATCTTCAGCCCAGTAGGACAGTATAGCGCTGAAAGTTAGATATTGCAGGATTAGCCAAAACCCTAATTAGGAATGGATTAATTCATTTTAATCTTTAATCTTTATTACCGATATCCAACAATTTGTTCAGATAAACATCCAAAACTTACGAGATAAATTTATCTGCCCTAAAATGCGAATCTTAAAGTATTTTTGATCACTAACAGTAAATAATCAAATAGGTACTATTTGTGAGAGATCACTTTTAACGTTTTCTTTATCTCTGTAGGTGGTGGTGGCGGCGGCCTCCACAGTAATGGAAAAACGTCCTCTGATCAAGGAGGGGGGGAAGGAGGTAGAGGATTTGTTGAGGGGGGAGTGGGTGGGAGGTATGGAGGTGGGTTTGGAGGTGGAGGTGGTTTTCGTGGGGGCGTTAAGGGACCTGGGGGCGGTGGAGGTTACTCTGGGGGGAGTGGGAGTGCCAATAGAGATAATTCCTGTGGGGGAGGGGGTGGATCTTTTAACAATGGAACAGATCAGCAAAATGAATGTTATAATAGCGATGAACATGGTAGAGTGATCATCGCTTTTCTTCGTTAAGATGCACGTAGCAGCCCTTTTCTCATCGTGTTGTGATAATTCTGTTTTGAAGGTTGATTGTTTTTAAACTCAAGAGTAAACAAATTTTTGTTTCTTCTTTAGATTCAGTCATTAAAGGTTTTTAGGTGTGGGTAAACCAGCGCAACTTATGCATCTAAAGTCCTTTGTTGGAATAGAGTTGTTTGTAAATGTTCTCCAACGTAATGAATTCTTCTCTAGCAAAAACTGTAACTTTTATTATTTTCCGTCTCCTTTCGTGTTCGGAGCAATTCGTCAAACGTCATGTTTGACTTTTCAAACAGTGCAGGTGTTTCGTGTTCATCTCTTAAGATCAGTGGACACAAACAAGTATCTATTAAAAACATTTTTTATACTTTCATCTTTTACGCAAAGTTAAGGGTGAGATGTGTATTTTTAATTTTTTTTTTGTAGTAACAAACAAAGTTGCCTATCTTATTTAAAAGTTCCTAATATTGACGCAAGAATCTTTTGCATTTGAATATATAACGGCTTCTCCACATTCAACGATAAGATGACAAGGAGCGTCACCACTCTAGATGTATACTGATGTGGATAGTTTAACGCTCCTAAATATTCAGTTCTGGGTAAATATACTACTGATTCAAAGTTTTCTAGCTTTTAATAACATCTTTGGAAAGAGGAACCGAAGAATTGAGCATAGGGGGGCCGAAATATTTTGTAAACAGCAGAACCCCAGTCAGGCCAATGTTACAAAAAAAGCTTTAAAAAAATATGGGTGGACTAACATCCCCTCGGTGTCTCTCTAAATACGCTCATGTCAAGTACCTGCTTTAGTGACATCCGACTTAAGTGTCATGTGCTGGAAAATTTCATCAACTGTAGTTGGTCATTGAACAACTAAAAAGGAAGAGGGACTTTTTGATATAAGTACTGCTGTGAAGTCAGTTCTTCATATTCCTCAGTATTTTAATTGTTACATATATAAGAATAAAAATAATACAAATGGGATTTCAAAGAATTTAATGTCTATGAGTTTTTTTTTTACTATTATTTAATCCTAACAGTCAATGTGTTCTGCGAAATTCTTCGGTTATATTTTACATGTATATTTTGTGCGTAAAATTTCACAGAGTGGCCATTCTAGCAATCAATATTTGCTGCGTTAATGTATCGTATTTTTTGAATCACGTTATTCCTAAAAAGCTCTGTCCCGAATTTAATGAATAAAACTGTAGGTTTTTCAAAAAGGGCTTAAGGCGGCTTAAAAAGATTTGCAAACGAGTACATGGCGTTGTGCCTCTAAATTGCAATCAAGGAGTTTAGAAAGATATCTCTCCTCGATTCTGGGTTTTTATTGGCTGATAGTAAAACCACCTGGCTGTACGGCAAAGGATTATCTTATTTTTCAATTCAATTACCCATTATGTCTTTACACAAGAAAAACAGCGCTTCTTTGCAGTTTCGTCTTTAAAGTTTCTTATTACACTTGTTGATTTATTTCTCTCTGTCCATAAAGCATTCTTTTTCTATGTGGGAATTTTTTTTCATCCTTAACATAAACGCTTCAACTTAAAAGAGGAAAAATGTAATGTGTTGGTTCAATTATTTCTTGAAGTATCGCTTGCAGACTTACAAATTGCCTTATATCAGTTGTATCTTTCTTGAGATAATTCACTAACATTTGTTAAAGGGAATTCATCACCCATTATAAGTGTCTCCTTCCCAGGTCTTAACTTAAGCTGAGGACAAAGTATACTTCGATATTCACTGCATGGTATTGAGCATGTCTACAATCATCCTTGTAGATATGATCACCTTTGCATGTGACGAACTAGAGCCACGAAGTAACTTACAGCAATCTTCAATAGATCAATCATTAAAATCAACATTCTCTTTATGGAGTTTCGTTTTGAAAACGTCGCTTCGGGATATTAACGCATTCTGTTAAAAACGGTTGTCATTATTTTTTTCCAACTTTGAGCGGACAAGGAGAGCATAAAAATAGTTGCGAAATGGTCTTCAAGTAGCTGGGCTCAACGATGCACTCATGCTGACATAATTCATTTAGCCAAACTAGAGAAAAACACGAAGGAAAGAACATCTTCCTCAATTGAAATTGAAGGACGTTAATACACATTGTGCATAATCGAGTTTCACCAACTAGCTACATCCCAGAGGATCCTATTCATTTGTTAAAACCACTGAAAGCTTCATGATTAAACAAAGAGAGCGGCGTATTTGAACGCATATTAAACTTCAGCTGTTTCATTTTGTCTGATGCTCCCCTCAAAATTGAAAACCTTTATTGTGGTTATTCGAATTATAGCGTGCGTTTTCTGGTATTTGCTCTCTACTGCTTCATTCTCAACGTTTTGGCTTCCCTAATATTAGAAGGACATTAAGATTTTCCCACAGTCATGTCCTTCCTCGTGCCTGAGTAATATTTCGATGTTTACTAAAACGTTTTACAATATATTTTTTACTATTTTTATTGACATAAATAAGCCTTGACAAAAATATCTGAACAATCTTCTTCTAGTATTAAATATGATGAATTATTTCATCTAAATATGTTTTCTCCCTGGAATAGCATAAGACAAACTACTCAATTTTCAAGAAGTTAGTGCACCTTCGAAGTCATATGGCAAAAAAAATTTTTGGAAATACGAAGATTGTAATAAAATCGTAGGGAAAATAGTTTGTTGGAGCAACCAGAAGGCAAAGTTAATTTTACAGAATTGAACATTCAAAATGAAATAACGAGGGTTGTTAATTGAAACGGAAACGGTTTTAAATAAAAACTGTTTTGTTTCCGCTGTCATCCTGATCGAAAAAGCCATCATGCTCCTGTCACTATCCGTTATGTAAGGCAAGCAAAGTGGCTCTCAAAAATGAGGCAAATAGATTGCCCTTTTGGTAAGTAGGTTGTAACCTGCATGGAAATTCTACCTTTTGCCGTTTTTAAAAGAAGGCTTTGGAAGAACTTGATGCACTTCCTAGGCATTGACATCCGGGTTAACTTCAGAAGCGGGGTTCAGTCCTCTGTTCTTAAGCTCCTCAGCCTTGATAAATAAAGTTTGTTCATAGTGCGAGGATCTCTCTATGAATTTCGTTTTTCAGGAAAAATGCTGTGGATATTTTGTTATTTCCTTGTCTGTGTTTCGTTCACCAACCTTGAAACTGCTGAGGATCAATGCAGGTCAGAAGTTGATATTCGTGGCATGGCTCTCAAAGGTTTCGTTCTAAAGAGGATGACAGTAGCAGCTCCTCATATCTGTGATATCTTATGTGAAAGGGAAACTATCTGTCAGAGCTATAATTTCAACAGAAAAGAACAGATCTGTGAATTAAACCATCGCACAAAGGACGCGAGACCCGAGAATTTTCGCTCAGACCCAGCGTGGTTTTATATTCGCCGTTTGAACGGAAGAGGTAAATACTCGACCAAGCAATTTATAATAATTCTAAATATTTCTGTCTTACAGTCTGTTCACAGCCTGCCTTTTCCGATTTCCCGGAATTGATTTTTCTATTACCTCCTGACCGTAAAAATGAAATATATCATTTCTACCTACTTTCTTTGAAGTTTAACCTATAGTTAACATGCAAAAAATAACTTTGATGCATGTGTAAAATGTTGACAAGAAGTTATTGATTTATTTACTTTTTAAAGTGCTGCAACAAGCTTACGGTCAGGGATGACTGTAAAAAAAAATGAAAGCTCTAAATGGAGGGCTTACGAGAGAAGGGTCTTGTCTCCTCAGAATAAAATCCTCCTTAAATATTCACAAGTCAAAAGGGAACCTAAGTAAATGGAATTCAGATCCCGTTGATATTCTCAAGCGCCTTTTATTCTCCCTTTTCGATCTGTGCGCCTCTAAATGCTTGGCCGGTTTAAAGTCACCTCGCCACCAGGAAGACTCGCCACCAATAAAAGAAAAGTTAATCAAAGTGACTGTAACCTTTTAATCGAACGAACGACAAGATCTACAAGAAATGTCAATTATCATTTTTTGGCGAAAAGAGGAGTTGTGTTGAGTGTTAAGTTTCAACATTTTTACTCATACCAGCTCCCTTGGGTTCGATTCCGGAGTTACCAGCACGTTCATGCCACGAGATAAAAGCAAGCGAAGGGAAAGACACTGTAAGCAACAAATACTGGCTGGATCCATCTGGCACTGGGAAGGCAGTTTTGGTTTACTGTGATATGTATTTAGAAGGTAAATCAATGTTGAAGGCAATGTTGGTTTAATTTTTTGTTCAAATTGTCGATTTGGAAATCGCTCTAGTCCTGAAACAATGTGCTGCGCAGTTTCTACTTTTGTCTACATATTTGTATAAAAAATCCAAAAATGGAAAAAAATATCCCAAATGGACATTTTACATTTAATTGCAATTTAATAAAACTTTGAACAACATTCTTGCCTCAAAGTTGCCATTAACCATGGTCTAACTCGTTGGAACACAATTCTTGTTGTGTTATGTGGCTGTAAGTGTCAATTTAGCACAGGGTAAGACTATCTCTCTGGTAAAATAAATGTTGGCGAAATTTTGACTCTCTTCCTTCTCCATTCCCCAACTAGATCATGATGAATGCCTTAGTGGAAAAAATGCCTGTGACGTCAATGCATACTGCACCAACACTGCGGGTTCCTATTACTGTACCTGCAAGGGGGGATACACTGGCAATGGACGCTCGTGTTCAAGTACATCGCGATTAGTTTAGATGAATATCCTAATCACTTACACTTTTGGTCTATCGATAGAATAGTCAAACGACCAATCAAACTAATATTAATTTTCTCACTGGGGAGGGGGTGGGTCACAGTGTCCAACATAGTCAGACTCTGTATTCCACCTTTATTGTCCGAGAGGGCTTTAAAAAAGGATTTCATCTATATGATGTTCTTCTCTGTGTTATAGATATAAACGAATGCGCTGACAGCACACCCGATTGTGATGTGAACGCTGTGTGTAACAATATCTTGGGATCTTATAAGTGCATGTGTGAAGACGGATTTCATGGAAATGGAACTAACTGCACCGGTAACTTGTTATAACATATCAAGTTGCCTCTTTAGATAATAATACCCTGTCATAAAACAAAAAGGTTAGTTACTATACAATAATAAAATATTTTTTGTTGATTTAGATATTGACGAATGTACTGACGGAATACACAACTGTGATGTGAACGCTGAGTGTAACAATACCCTGGGATCTTACAAATGCTCGTGTAAAGATGGATTTCATAGAAATGGAACCAACTGCACAGGTAACTTGCTGAAACATTTCAAACACCGTCTTTCACCGGCATTGTATAAGGGGGCTTTTAAAAAAAAAGTCTCATTTACATGATAATCCTTTTCGTGTTCTAGATGTAGATGAATGTGCTGACAGAATACACAACTGTAATGTGAATGCCGATTGCAACAATACCCTGGGATCTTACAAGTGCTCGTGTAAAGACGGATTTCATGGAAATGGAACTAACTGCACGGGTAACTAGTTAAAACATTTCAAACACCGTCATTGTATAAGGGGGCTTCAAAAAAAGTCTCATTTACATGATAACACTTTTCGTGTTTTAGATATAGATGAATGTGCTGACAGAATACACGACTGTGATATGAATGCTGAGTGTAACAATATCCTGGGATCTTATAAGTGCACGTGTGAAGACGGATTTCATAGAAATGAAACGAACTGCACAGGTGACTTGTTATAGTACATCATGTTGTCTCTTTTGATGATAATACTCTGTCATATAACAAAAAGCTTAGTTACAATAAAATAATAAAATATTCTTTGTTGATTTAGATATCGACGAATGTACTGACGGAATACACAACTGTGATGTGAACGCTGAGTGTAACAATACCCTGGGATCTTACAAATGCTCGTGTAAAGATGGATTTCATGGAAATGGAACTAACTGCACAGGTAACTTGCTGAAACATTTCAAACACCGTCTTTCATCATCATTGTGTAAGGGGGCTTAAAAAAAGTCTTATTTACATGATAATCCTTTTCGAGTTCTAGATATGGATGAATGTGCTGATAAAACACACGACTGTGATATGAATGCCGATTGCAACAATACCCTGGGATCTTACGAGTGCTCGTGTAAAGATGGATATCATGGAAATGGAACTAACTGCTCGGGTAACTTGTTTTCACATTTTCTGAGGTGCCTTTTATCAAAAGCAGAAATAATAGGACTTATTCAGATGGTCTTCTTTTTCTTACTCTAGACACAGATGAGTGTTTCGATGGAATACACGATTGTGATGTGAATGCCGAGTGCAACAATACCCTGGGATCTTACAAGTGCGCGTGTAAAGATGGATTTCATGGAAATGGAACCAACTGCAGAGGTGACTAGATTTAACATATTCATACTCCGTCTCTCATCTTTCTTATCTCAGAGGACTTCAGTGAGAAGATTTCATTTACATGATATTTCTTTTCTTATTCTAGATACCGGCGATCTTTCTATTGTACAGACGCAGGGCATAATCGAATCAATTTGTTAGATAAATATCAGTATAAAAAATGGCTTTCAGCCATACAAGGGAGCAAACACAGTGTGGAAAACTGTCTTTTTCTCGCAGGTCACTAGAAGTCCACGAAGTCTTTTGAACGCGTTTTGACTCTGTTGGTAGACTCTTCGGGAGCTTTTTCGCCTTTTTTCAATTTCGCTTAATTTGCAGGGATATCATTTTCAAGCATTGAAGTTGACAGTAAGGTCAATACTAAACAAAATTTGAAAACTTCTTACATATTATTTCGTGTTTAATACAGGATTTACAGCTGTTTTTACAACCCTCAATGCGAGTGAAGGTGGTAAGGGTCCAGTCTCAATTGGGAGCCACTACACAGGTCAGGATCATGACGGACAAATTACACTATTTAGTGGTATTCAGCAGTGGACTGTGCCACACACTGGTGAATACAGAATAGAAGCAATAGGAGCCCCAGGGGGGTACGGTAAAAACAGCGTTATTAAAAATGGAGGAAGAGGAGCGAGAATGATTGGAAACTTTAATTTGACCAAAAAAGAGAACATTCGTATACTTGTTGGTCAAAAGGGGAGTCAAGCGAAGTCGTCCAGCAACTCAAATGCCGGAGGTGGTGGAGGTACATTTGTAGTAAGAGGAAGCAATACGCCTTTGATTATAGCTGGAGGTGGAGGGGGAGTTAAAAAAATGTCAGGACAAAATCCAGGATGTGATGCGTCCATAAGCGCAACAGGGAATGCAGGGAACAACTCGCCTTTAGGGTCCGGAGGAAGCAACGGAAATGGAGGAAAAACAAGTGGTCAATCTCCAGGTAAGCGAAGAAAGGAGAAAAATCTATCAGTATGTTCAATAGGACAATAAGATTACAGAAGGATCTCAATTATTAAAATTATCAATCTTAATTTTACAGTTTTTCTTTTCTCCTCAATAAAACTTATGAAGACGCCTCCTACAACATCTGACACTCAACTGAGTTTCACTCGTCCACTTTTTAGATATCCTTCACATTTATACACAGTTGACAAGGGGTACTATTGGCTAATTGCAGATTTGAATTAAAAAGGTGCAATAAAAAGACAGTTTAACGAAAAATTGTGGAGCTGACTTGTCCCCAAAAACAATTTTGCACATCGCTTAGAGTGAATAAATTAGATAGGTGCTTTTTATAAGAGATCACTAATTAGTTTTTCATTATTTTAGGTGGTGGAGGTGGCGGCTTCTTCAGTAATGGAAAGACTGTTAGTGGTGGGGGAAAAGGAGGAAAAGGAGGTAAAGGATATATTCAGGGAGGAGAGGGTGGAGCGTATTGGGGTGGATTCGGAGGTGGCGGTGGTTTTCGTGGAGCCGACAACGGAGCTGGTGGTGGCGGTGGTTACTCTGGGGGAAATGGAGGTGGGAATAAAGCTTTTTCCTGCGGGGGAGGGGGGGGATCTTTTAACATTGGGGCAAATCAGCTAAACGAATGTTGTTATAATAGCGATGAACATGGTAGAGTGATCATCACATTTCTTCAGTGAAATGGACATGACGATACGTTCCTCAAAGTGAAGCGGATATTTTTTTCTCAAGCCCCAAATTTGAACAAAATCTGTTTTTATAAAGAGTTTGAAGGTGCACGCTAACCTTTAGATTTAAATTGATTTGCTTTCGGGTTCATAGTTTGAATTAACAAACACTATTTCCTGGAATAGGTTTTTTGTGGATACATTTTGACCTTAGGGAATTTATCTTCTGCAAAACCTATAAATTTTGTTCCTTTTCCGGCTCTTTTCAGAGCAAGGCGTTGTGTTTGAATATTTCTGCAGCACAGGTGTTTTGTCTTCAACTCTGAATGTCAGTAGACACAAACAATGCTAATTACGAATTGTTACGAATTAATTGTTTGTAGGAATAACAGAAACAAGCTATTACTTTTTTCTCCTTATCTGTCAATAATTCAATAGTTTCAGACTACAGTTTGGTGAAAATTCAATAAATTGATTCCTAGATGTCGTATTATTGCTGTTTGTTTTCTAGACTTCATTTATAAAATTTCACAACTTAAAAGCAAGTTTCTTTGGGAAGGAATGAGGTAGTATAATTCATTGGAAATATGGGAATCAACAATATCACGACAACTGTTTTCTTTGCTGGTTTCTCCGTCCGTTAGATCCAGCTTTAATAATCAGTTGCTACCAGGGTTGTGCATCGGATTTTTACCTTTAGATGTTTTGTGCAGTCATCTGAAATTTTTAAAAAGGGATGAGAAATTTAAGGGGTTTTGTGCTCATTAATTTTAATCTGCAACTTAAGAGGGAGTCTTGAAAACGATTTGTTTGGAAACTTAACCGGTCCATTAAATGACTATGAGAACAAAAATGAAACTCGCCTTCACTGTTAGGTCATGATGAAACGAGTCAGAATGGATGCGCAGTCGATGGTAGGTTTAGTTGTTAATTGTCTTGTGAGCTTTTAAATATAAGCAGGAAGATAAATTCATGCATATACCATTTTAGCTTAACACATGAGGAATTTCTCTAACAGTAACTAAAAAAGCTTCTAACAGGCTCGTCATATTGCTCCCAGAGAGGGCAATATTTTATTCTGTAGAAGTCTTCTTCATCCTGTGTTTTTAATTTTGAAAAGCTTAAGTTTCAGGCTTCTACCCTCCACTGTTAGAGCTAATGCCTTATTCAAACCAGCAAAATATGTTCGGTTAAAGTGGTTTTTTACTGAATGAAAATCAAAAACAGAGGACTGAAAAACTTAATTTTCCTTTTTCAAATCCTTGCTTACTTGCATTTCCAATGTCCTACATTTTAAGTAAAAAATATTTGATTATGTAGTTTCTACGAAAAAAAAAAAACTGTGTTTAGCAAAACAACTTTAAGACATGTTTAAGCTTTGGTGTGAATGGAGTATACGGCATTCGTCATACGGTGGGACGACTGACTTCTTTTAATTTTTCTGTTGTTCCTCGCGTGACTTGGGGGGGCAAGTATCCGATAGCTGGGTCACAATGAGCGTTTAACGTATTATTTAGCGCCAGCGCTAGTGTTGTCAATGGCTCGTGTAATAATCTGCTGCTCTCGTTCGTCTCCTGAGTCGCAATCGTCAAGCCCTTGGGCAGGTGCGTGGCCTGTGATATTCTTTATTTCACACCTCGGGATACCAGAACTTTTCAGCTTCTTGACCACGGTTTTTCGTGCCCTATTGCTGGTCAAATTCTTCTCGGAACACAGATCCTTCAGCGGTGAATTCTCTTTCATGTTTTTCATGATTGTGTTCTTTCCCATTGGGGATTTCTTGTACCAAACGCTTGAAACTGGCTTGTCGATGACAGTGAGGTAAAACGGGCCGCTTTCCTTCATTTCGCTTTGTCGCTTCTCCAGATATCGTTTAAACAACATGACTGGGCACCTTTCCTCATTCCCTGTGGCAAACATTTTGGGGATGACTAGTCTGGTTTTCACGCTAAGTCCTCCCTGTCTCGTCTTAGTTGGACCTTCGGCAAATGTTAGAAATTCGTTTCCGTCGTCGTCGCGTTGTAAAGTGAAACCGTCAACTTTCATTTGGTGGTGTTCTTGTCGCTCTTGTAAGCCAAAGTGCTGAGTGAGCAGCCACCACATGGTGTTCAGTAGAGCTCGTTGAGTGCCTCCTCCAAGCTGGCCGTTCTGCCAGAGGACTTCTCCCTCTTCTTTTGTCAAACTTCTGGATCGGTTTGGTCGCTTTCTTTTGCCTTGCTCTCGCAGTTTCCTGGACTTCCCTTCCAGGACTTTTCTGGAGTTAAGAAACTTCCTATCTCGGATGATGGACTTTGGATGGGATTTTGATTTTAGATATCTCTCCAGTGATGTCTGCATTACTTTCAGGCAGACGGGCTCGTAGTTATCACCGTTTCCTTTTTGTGACTCGGCATATAACTGCGACAGTGTTTGGTCGAGGACATCGCTCTCGTACTCTTCCAAATTGGCTTGGAAGTTTCTTTCATTCGCCCACATTTTGAAAACGTTCTTCCAGTACTCCGTGCTTTTCTTCGTGTTTTCATTTAATTCTTCGATATATTCTTCGTCAACTACCTCGAAACGTGACGCCATTGTTACAAAGAATTTTTTGGCAACAACTACTCGATAGCATAAGCTATTGCCAGGCAACCTGAGGACCGATCGTGAGCGAGTAATTTTGCCCTCTTCACAAGCAAAACTAAGAACAAAATACCCTCTTCATTGACCAATCAGCATTCAGTAATTTTGCCCTCTATGTTATTTATTTATTAATTTCAGGCTGTCGGTCAGAGAGTATTATGTCTAGTATTGCTTATGTTTCGTAATGTATAGATTTAGCCAAGCCTAAAAGCGGAGCTCGCATTTTTTTTCCCCGCCCGCTCGTCTCAAGGGCACAACTCCTTGCCCCGGCCAGGACTAGAACCCGGGTCGTCCAACTCAGAGCCCAGTGCACTGACCACTGAACTGAACAAAGCCGAAGCGTTGGTGTGCCCGCGGTACAGTTGACCACGCATGTCAAAAGTAGCACCTTGTACGGTCGTACGGTCGTACAACCAAATTTTTTCAGCCCGATGGGTTACTACTATTTTGTATAATTATGGGGCTACGCTCTGCGAGCTCCGCTATTGTCATCGCTGTGCATAGCAACTAAGTCCAAAATGGTTGTTTCAGTGCAAATATCTCTAAGAAAAAGAAAAACGATTGTGAAATTCTCAGTGGGACGCGGCCAAGAATCTTTTGTCCCATTTCTTCTCAGTATGCAGTTTACCATCCAAGACAAAGAAAAACGAGGTTAAAATTTTGAAGTATCTTCTTCGACAGGAGTAATCCGTTTAAAACCAACTAAGGGTTAGTTTTTGTCGATGACAGTGAGGTAAAACGGTGTGTTTGCATCATGCAATTACGTAGCATTTCAGTAATGTAGAAGCCCTCATGACGACTAAATGTTAAAAAATGGTGTCTCTTGCTAAGAAGCTCTAGCAGCTGAACATCAATTACGAAAAATACGTTTATTACTTTTGTCTCAAAAAATTGTGTTCCGACTATGAGATGAAATTTTCGGTCTGTCAGAAACAAGCATATGATGTCCTACAAAAATAATGAATATGGATCTCAAAATAGTTACAAAGGAGCCGAGAAAATAGTTTAATACGATTCTGTTTTTTAATTCTTTTTTCCCCATTATTTGCTATCTGCCAGTAATTACTTTATACGATGCTGGTTTTCCGCGAGAAAAAGATATCGCTCTCTTTTTGTTCTTTTTCAAGTTTTTAATTTCATTTTTCAATGACTGCTTTTTTTTTTTCGGTTCATCTGCTACTGTTCTCCTCGGTGGCGATTGTTTCGGCCTTCATTGGTGATATTTTCAAAGCAAATGAAACTTTATGAAAACAAATTTTTTTCTACCGGTTGCACAACATAACAGATCATAATATGTAACGCCAAGAGGAATTAATCTGTTCTTTTAGACTTGAAATCGCCATCTCCCGCTCTTTGGATGGAGAAGTTCGACTAATCGGAATACGTCAAGAAGACAAAGTCAGAATTTGAGTAGACTAAATTTATTACGGCCAAGGTACAGAGAATGAGGATGAGAACGAGACGAAACTTTGATGCCATTAGTTCAGTAACTTGACTTGAAAACGAGTTAGATCTCAAATTGGGCCCAAACTTCTTGATGCGCCAGAATTTCCGGCTCTTACTTGAACGTGTGCTAGGCTACCGATATATTGTAGTATGTTTAAGAGCCGCTCCAAAACAGCACAATCTTAAGCAAACAGACTGGGATTCTCGATGATACACATTATTAATAATTTATTTCCCTGAAAATGAATAGTGTGGAAAATGAAGCCACCATCGATTTAGCTAGTACACGCTTAGTTACGAAATAACCAAATCTGTTTGACTCTCATGTCCCGGCGCGACTTTTCGCATCTACTTTGTTTTGAAAATTTCTCTTTACTTTACCAGCTGAACAGAATTCTTTTTCAATCAATTTGCTTGTTTCCTAAAGACATTACGAAATCTCGCAATGGACATTTTGTAAATTATGATTCTGATCAGTTTGCGGGGAACCGGTGATGAGGAATTTGACAAATTGCGTACTTTTTTCCACTCTCTTCTACAAACCAATTGCTACCACGGTTGTGCATCGGATTTTTACCTTTAGATATTTCATGCAGTCATCTGAAATTCGTATAAAGAGATGAGAAATTTGAGGGTTTTGTGCTCATTAATTTTAATCTGCAGCACTTAAGATGTCGTCTTGAAAACCTTTAAATTATTAAACGATTAGTTTGCAAACCTAACCGATCCATTGAATGACAAAGAGAAAAAAAAATGAAACGCCTTCAGATTAGGTCTTATGACGAAACGAGAATCAGAATTACTGCGCAGTCGATGGTAGGTTTAGTTGTTAATAACCATGTGAGCTTTGATAAACCTAAGCAGGAAGATAAGGTCATATTCCGTTTTAGCTTAACGCATAGTTATAGGAGATTTATCTAACGGTAACTAATTGAAGAAGCTTCTAACGCGCTCTTCATATTGCTCCCAAAGAAGGAAATTTTTTTATTATAGAATTATTCTTCATTCCGTGTTTTTAATTTTGAAAAGCTAAATTTTCAGACTTCTGTCCTCCTTTGTTAGAGGAAACGGTGGAACGACTGACTGACTTTATTTAAATTTCATGTTATTCCCCGCGCGACTTGAGGGGGCAATACAAAAAGTATCTGATAGCTGGATCACAGTGAGCGTTTAACATATTATTTAGAGCCAGGAAAAGTGTCCTATCTCCAATAGCATCCAGTTTTTCGACAAAGAACGTCTTTTACATAGATATACGGTGAAAAATTGCGTTCAGGAGCTTATGTGCATTAAATTTCCATCTATATAAATTATTAATTCAGTTTTACTTTGATGTTATTCACACCTCAAGAGACCACACGGACACGAAGGAGTCAATTCAAAAATCAAATGCTGATATCAATCACGTATTTGTAAACATTTACATAATGTGCTTTAAAATTTGCCTTTTTCATGTTCTAAAATTGGAATTGTAACTACCACACAAATTTTAGCTAAACAGCAGAAGTTATCTATTGACAAATGTTTTGTCAATCGGGGTTTAGCGTCTCATGAAGTTTCAAGAAATCAAGTTGTTTAGAGAGATTTTAGCAGTTTTTAAATTAAAATTCATAGTTAGATCGCCAAACAATGTTTATATGCAGGGACAATTACTATATTTAAACTTAACGTCAACAAAATCTAAAACATTTACCATCACACAGGCAAGACCAAACAGGTGTAAATCGACAATAGCCTCCTTCTGTCCATTTGGTGCAAAAATATGCAAGGATAGTTGTGAGAAGACATTACTTAGATGCGATCAGTTTTCCGAAGCTCGAAGAAAGCTGTGAGCAATTTCAAGTTTCAAAAATTTGTTCTGCCAAAAATCCAAAAAGAAAGGCTCGTAAGGTCGATGCTCGAAGAGTTGATGGGTTTCTAGAGAAGCATGAAATTTTTCATTATAATTTCTCTCTTACGTATATTCAGTTTTTTTTAATTGTCTCCTCCTTCTTAAGCTTTTATTAGAGTCCACCCCATATCTTCAGCATCTGTCAATGAGAATGTGATGCTTGTGTTTGTAGATGACAGAATAACAAAATGTTACGAAAGGCCGCTGGAAAGCCTTCACTCTTTACCGTGCTATTCATGACTCAAATGTTCCAGAGCATTACCAGCCACCAGTGTGGAGCCGGCATTCACTCCATTTTTCAAAAGATGCTCAGGGGCCACACCTATATGACGATTGAGAGCCAAGCCGGTACCGTCGCGCTGGAATGCAGGGAAGCTTGTCACGCTGATTTCAGATGTCAAAGCTATAACATCGTTATACTTAATTCAAAGTGCGAGTTAAACAACCGGACCAAAGAGGCCAGACCTGAGGACTTTGTCAAAGACAAAGACAGATACTACATGGCGAGAAACTCAAAACGAAGTAATAGAACTTTACACTAGAAATAATTTATTTTTATTCAAAGTTCAAATAAGTACCTCGTTCAAGGATCTAAAGTGGTACTCATCATTGTTTCTCATACTTTCTTCAATTCCAGTCCCTCTCGGCTCTATTCCTGAGCTGCCTGCCTATTCGTGCCGAGAGATTAAGGCGAGTGAAGGAGGACAATCAGTCAGCGGTACATACTGGTTGGATTCCACCAGGTCTGGGAACTCTATTCTAGCTCACTGTGACATGAAAACAGAAGGTTAGGAAGACAAATATTTCATGATGACTTTGATTATGCGTGAGTAAGTGTCATTTAGAGATTTTTTCCCATCCAGTCGCAGATTACTGCATTCAACACCGGTGCCAAAACAATGCCAGGTGCATAAACCATCACGTGAACTACACGTGTGCCTGTAACTCATCCGGGTGGACTGGAAACTTCTGTGAGCAAGGTAAATTCAAGGCTCAATTTTTTGCTTTCAATCATGAAAACGGAGGCTAACTGATAGTATCATCATGCTTATCGTAGATGTCAACGAATGCAAGAAAGGTCTACATGGATGCCATGCTGACGCCACGTGTAACAACACTGAGGGTTCTTACAATTGCTTCTGCAAAGTAGGATTTGCCGGGGACGGAAGAAACAGCTGCATAGGTAAGGGTGCAGTTGTGTGACAACTCTTTCCATTATTTTTTCAAACAAGGCGCGAAAAGATTACCACGCACTCCCATGAATTTCGGAGTGCGCCAAAGGTATGTTTGCTATCAGTTAGGCAGCTACATGGCCTACGACAATAACACTTCACTCATTTTTTGTCTATCCACCCTGAACCAGAGTTTAAAGCTGTCTTTACAAACCTTGGTTCGACTGCAGCTGGTGGCCCAAGCTCAATTGGCAGTCACTATACAGGGCAAGATCATGACGGACAAGTTACCGTGTCCAGCGGTATTCAATTGTGGACTGTGCCATACACTGGAGAATATAGAATAGAAGCAATAGGAGGTGCAGGGTGGTACGGTAAGGACAGTGTCGTCCAGAACGGAGGAAGAGGAGCCAAGTTGACCGGAAACTTTATTTTGACCAAAGATGAGATCATCCGTATACTTGTTGGACATAAAGGAAAAAGAGGGCCTAACTCCAAAACAACTACAGGAGGCGGGGGAGGTACATTTGTGGTGAGAGGAAGCAATACGCCTTTAATCATAGCTGGAGGTGGAGGGGGGATTAAAAATATGTCAGAACAACATTCAGGATGTGATGCATCCCTAAGCACCACAGGGAATGCAGGGTACTCCTCGCCATTGGGGTCAGGGGGAACTGGCGGAAATGGAGGAGGTAGCGCTGGTAATAGGCCAGGTTAGTAAATGAGATTTACCCAATCATCTTCAAACCAGGGGCACTGTGAGATGATAGAAAAAAATTTCACACGAGTTAAAAAACCCATATTTATGGCAATCATTGGGGCTCATTCATCAGAAGCACACACTTCAAAAAGTCGAAAACTTTGCAGAATCTTAGTTCACTTGAATGTAGCTCGTTCACTTAAATTCTTACTTCACTTGCGCCCGTGTTACATTACTTTCAAGCCACCAAGTCTACGAATACACATTAGGTCATAAGCGTTAACAAGGTAGACATTTGCACAGTTATCAAGGTTGTTGATTAATTGGGTGACACAGCAAAAGCATTGCGGGAATCATACAGACCTTTTTTAAGCAAGGATTCGACTTTCGTATTCCTTAAGGCAGAGCATAGAAAATCATAGAACTAAGTTATTAATAGAAGAAAATAGGTATTCTCCCGACCTTTATATAGATGCGCTCCGGTACAATTAAAGAGATCACTGGACATTTTCTTTTTCGCTTTAGGTGGCGGCGGCGGCGGCTTTTACGGTAATGGGGGAGGAGGAGGTAAAGGTGGTAAGGGATTTCTGAACGGTGGAAAGGGTGGAACGTATAACGGTGGGTTCGGAGGTGGCGGCAGTAATCCAGCTTACTCTGGGGGAGCTGGCGGCGGTGGAGGTTACTCTGGGGGAGCTGGAGGTACTAATGAAGATCCCTCTTGTGGTGGAGGAGGAGGATCTTTCAACAGTGGAACAAATCAGGAAAATGAATGTTGTCATAATACGGCTGGAAATGGTAGAGTGACTATCACCTTGATCGAGTGATCAATGCAACAATTTTTAAACAAAACATAATTGTGGTATTTCACACAATCTTATAATTCTCAATATCATGACAAATTACGGCTTCTGTTATATCGTGAT